GCATTCCCTGAGCACCACCTTCCAGTCTAACAGGTGGATTTTGAACCGCATCTTGGCATATTTATTAAGTATTTAAAGACTCGGCAATTGGCGTAGGACGCTAATCTGTGGGTTCATTTTATCTTTGTTAAAGTAAATTTCGAGGAAACTCTGTCGGATTCTGAAAACTTGGAGAAAAATAGTACTCGTTCACGCCGAAAAGCACCCAAAAAAGGTAAAAATCAAGAAAACCCAACACTGCCAAGTTGGAATCTCAAAATTTACTTTGAAGGAAATGATACAGTGAGTTGAGATTAGTTCAAACTCTTGTTTGGCTTAAACATGATACTAAAACGACCTAACTTTAATGTGCTTGTTCAGAATTCAATAACGCTGAAACCCTATGGACCGACACCCTCGGACCTAAGAGACAGAAAACGGTCGTGGTTGGGACTGAACCCTGAAGAAAAATTAGCAGAAGCAATCAATATTCGAGAGCAATTTTTACAGTCAGAAAATGCTAAGATGCCTGTTGAAGAAATAAATAAAAATGAATTTTACGAACATTGTATTCAAGAGATTTGTGAAGATGCTTATATGGAAATTCAGGAGACTTTTGGTTTGAATGCCAACGGCAAATATTTTCCCACTGATGAAACCAGAAATGAGGATGAAATAAAGGCGTTTACTGAGTTAGCAACGAAAATACAACTGAACAAAATAGTTTACACGGAATAATTAAAAAACAAGCGCAAACTTCTTTTTCACAAGGATAAGATTTTTTAATTGGTTCATAATTGCTTATTGGTAGTTCTGATTTATGTATCCTGCACTGTGTAATTTGAAGACAATAAATAACTTTTTTTAATCTCAATACTTCTCACATTTACTTAACACGAAGCCAAAATTAGTTCTTAGTTGTTTTAAAAATTAGTAATTAATCAATTAATTAAGCATTAAACAGGAGAACGTCTACTAACAACGGAAATCGAGCTAAGATACATGGATATCGAAAAGAAAGGTCAATTACTTCAGCTTTTACTCCTTTCTGCAAATACTCTGGGAAAATATAAAAGATAAATATCAATCGATTTGTTGCCTTAGGTTGGCACAACACTAACTTTAAAAATTGGACACCCCTATTAATAATTCCTCAGTAATTTTTATGCGTGGTTCTTATCTAAGAAAGGAAAAATTCCATATCTAAAACTAACCACAATTGTAAAAAAACGTTTTATTTAAAAATAAAAGTAAATATATAACTTCATTTTTAACAAAAAATATATGAGATTTATAGTAAAAAGACATTTTGGACGTTCCTACAATAACATTTTAAGTTTAATGATATGGCTTAAGAACACATGCTTTTGAGATTATTTTGCCCATCCTCCTCATATTCACGCGCTAACTGAAAAGGTTTTGTAATGTAGGAAGTTGGAATAGCGAGTTTAGTTAGCAGGCTTTTGATAATCACAATGGCATCGTAACACCGCATAATAGGTCGAAATTATGATAGAGATCTTTACGTATATTTCTACCGAACCTCTTTATGGAGAAACTAATAGCCTCGTGAATAGCCCGGGATCTCATACGATGAGATAGGGTTGGCAGGATCTGATCGGGAACGAGACCATTCAAAGAAAAAGTCAAGATCAGCAGACACGAAATGTGCTGCATTGACAACCACGGCTTATAAAAGTGATGAACAACATTTGATAATGTGGGAAACACATTTACGTCGCGTGAAATGTTAATTACGCACTTTTATTTAGGGTATTTGCTCTAACCTTAGCCGATCATTAGTCTTTTGATTGTAAAATTTTAGATGACAAAAAGGTTTTATTGAGGGCCTGGAATTTAGAGGAGGATAAGGCTTTTTATTGAAGACTTCAAGGCTGAAAAGAGTCCGCAAACTTTTTTTGTAAAAACACGTTAGAACAGAAGGTAAGAGACAAAACATATTAGCAATTCAAGCAATGATTAATTAATTTTCACTTATACTTTTTATAACTGATTTGTATTGTCTATATGTGCGTGGAGAAATTGAGTGAGTTGAGTTGCGCAAACCATTGTGGTAAGAAGAAAATATAAGTACAGTAGTTCAATCATGGTTGAAATATATATATATATATATATATATATATATATATCTAGTCATAAATGTGATATAAAATTTAAATTAAAATGCGATGGCTAGCGAACGTAATTCAACTATAGCACCACATGGTTTCTCCAGACAATTGACAATTCTTGTTTAGGCTTCTTAAAAGTTAAGCTGAATCCTTGAGAGTTTGGAAAAATTAGCGCAAATATGCGCTTTGCTCCTAATAAAGAAACTCATTGTTCAGCTCAAAATCAAAAGCTGACAAACTGAATTATTTAAATTTAAGACTGTAAAAATTAATTTCTCAAAAATTAAGAATTTGGTCTTATTCCCACTCGAAAATATGTGACATTGAAAAAGCCGACTTGTAATGACTTACCTCCACGTAGAGCACCCTGGGCAGCGTATGCTCATGCAGCAAAAAGTCTATTAACCAGCAGTTGACTTCACACTTCAACCTACAACGGCCCCACTGTATGTCATATTCTATCACTTCCGCAATATTCACCACTCTTTTTTCTTTGCTTTAGTGTCTGTCTGTCTGTTTAACATCTTTGAATCTCTCTTCGCTCCCCCTCTCGAATTTTTCTCACTTTGATGTTCCTCCCCTCTGTGAAGCTTGAAGTCAGCTAAAGAGATAATGATAATTATCAAAACCCCTACCAATTGGTATTAAATAAATATCTAAATGTGGCTTACCGAAAATAATACATTTTCAAGGGGCGAAATATAAACCATTATTATTTATGGATCCAATGATAATAAAAGACCAGCAGTTTATGCTAAATATGATGACATTAGAATGTGATGAAGTTTTATTAATAGTTGACTTAATAATTTACTCACGATGAATAAACTAATAGCAACTTTAGCAACAGCACTGGTTCATGCAAATATTTTTATGAACAAATGATTTCAATGGATAACTGTATTCGCTTTCAAATACAGATTCATTTGCTTTCTTATTGTTTATCAATCTAAAGGCCAAACACCAATTGGTGACGCGTATTTTACACTGTTTGCACCAATAACAATGATAGCTGATTTCTCGAATAGTCTACAGACAGAAACGAATCCGGAAATTACTTTAGATAAAACTTTAGCTATATTTAAATCAGTTGCTATAAAGAAAGAAGTTAGTCTTGTTGATATTTTGTCTAAGGCGTGCATTACGGTTACTAATGTAGGAGCATTTTACCAGTTACCCCCATTATTAGAGGCGATTCGCTAAACTATCCAAAGAACAAGCAATGGAGTTCTATCGCGATCGGAAGGATGAGGATGGTTATGCAAAATTAGTAGAGGATCTCTGTCGTGACATTGTGCTGGTTATGGTTTTTGCAAAAACTAACATTGTCGATATATGGAGAGAAATAGTTAATTATCCAATGACTAAGAATACCCAGAATGACCTTGCTCAAAAGTAATTTCAGTCATTGTACAGTTTGATACTTAGATTCTGGAATGAATTTGGAAGTCTTGATAACAGTTTGTTCCATGCTAGTGAGACGAAGTGCAATGCCGATTGGGAAATTCCATTCTTTTTCCCGAATAGTATGATTAAAAAATTAATCAGGTTTAAATCCTATTTAGCCATCACTGAGCCAATTCGATCCGCAGAAACTGCCAAATACTATCTCAGCAAAAACGTTCTTCCAACTTTGTTATCTTGTTTAACAGAGGTCTGCAAAAGAAAACCTTTAGATCCAATCGTGAGTACTCCTTAATAATTTCTATAAACAAAATTAATATAGATGTTTCTAGCCGATTCGCTTCTAAGGAACAACCCGAATCAGCCAAGAACTAGCGATAAAGAAGAAGAAGACAAGTGCTGATATTTACAAATAAACAATATAATTTGATCTAGGATTTAAAAGTAAAATAAGTTAGTCAATAGAGACATAACATAAAAGTTCTTGTGCGCTGGTGTAACTGGTAGATGGGACGTATATGTCAAACATCAGCGACTAGACGACCTCGAAACAGAGCACCTAGATAGATACAGAAGACAAGACAAACAAGACAATCGTCCAAAAGTCCAAAGACACCCACGATTGACTCGGGGAAGATGTCCAGCGGTGATATGACGTAAAAAAATACAAAAAGGAAGAGAACAATAAGACGAAGTCTCAAGAGACATGATATATTTCCCTCTCCGTCAAAAATTACACGCCAGAAGTAACGCAAAAGAACTGGCAGATCACGAAGCTGATCGATGAACTGAAAATGGGAAGGGAGATAAGGGTGGGTTATTTAAATAAATAGACAACGCAAATAATGTTAGGAGAAATACATTGATCAAAGAATATACAGCTTTCAATGCGTGATGCTCTAGACAAGGGTATTTGTAGAACTTGAAAAATTTTACTCATTCATTCCAGGTAGCCGGGACGACTCCTTTACTAAATTGATTACAATTTAAGGCACATTTTCTGCACCTCTAAAATTTTTGCCAGTAAAGTCCGAGGTATCGTGGTCCAATGTTTTGAACAGTTGCAGTTGCAGAATGAATCTTTTCCGTTACTAAACAAATAAACGCTAATTCTAGCTTTAGGGACTGCATAGTAAAAAGCCTCAAAAGCTACTTTTCGAATGAACATAAAGAAACCTTAAATATCTCGAACAATATGTGGCAAAGTATCGTAATAGCCAGAGAAATCATGAGATTTTTAAAATACACTCTGCTTTCCTGATCCATAAATATCAGGATTGGAGCCTTAATTACTCATTCTCAACTTACATCCCCAACGCAACCTAGTTTCAATGGACTAAAAGTTAATGCTAATAGTCTACGAAGGAGTTTTCCACAGATGTGGCCGAAATCCGTGGTATACGGAACCTCATTATTCGATCGTAAGATGAAATTTACATATGGACATGATGACATGAGTATGAATGGCCAACCGCTGTCATGATAGCCACTTCGACAGTCTAGTTAGACAAATGTAATTGATTCAATACAGAATGTGTGCAGTCACAAATGGGTTACAGAACCCATTAAAGTAAATCATGATGGTTATAATGCAATATATACAGAGGCCACATAATTTTAAAATGTATTTAAGCAAAAAATTAAATCTGAATACTAATAAAGAATTAGTCGATTGTCAAGGAAATTAAATAATTCCTAATGAGGGAAAATAGCTTTTGAGTCGCAGAAAGAAAGTTATTGAGATTCAAATAAATATGAACCTGAAAGAAGTAATATTACTCAACAGGCGAGAGGGAGAGGGAGAAGATCAAAAAACAATGGCAAATATTTTAACCAGCAGTCTTAAAAACAAAACCTATAACTGAAGACAAGAACAGTTTCTAATGCAATAACAAAGAAAGACTATCTTTAACTACAATTCCTCCAAATACACATACCTTTGACTACTCATAGTTTAGAATGTTTACATGTAGCCTACTTCAATAAACATATTTCGACAGGAAAAAACGATCATCAGCACCTCGTTATGAATGTTTTAATAGGACAATTAATAGCAATTCTGCATTTTATTTACAATAGGATTGGGACTCAAATCATTTGACAAATGGATCACATGCAAAACCACTGCATTTCATACATGCTTGATGATGACAATGTTGATAGGACCCTTAACATAATCATTACTCAGTAAATCATAACATTAAGAATAAAAGGCAAAAATCTTTAGCATTAATAAACTTAAGCGTCTTTGGTCAATGTAAAGAATAAAAAACAATCAAATTCTTAAGAAGAATGGCAAATAAACATTATAAAATAAAAAATACATTCAAGACAATAACTAACTGAAACAGGATTTCCAGAATAACGACGATTGAAAAGATCAACGTTGCTTTCAATTTGCGAACGGCTCAATGACATGTCCGATTGCATTTCCGGAATAGTAAATCTTTTAAGAACAAATCTCAGCTAAAAGAGTAAGAAATGATAAAATTAGCGAATATTACTTGACCACGGCAAACAGGGCAAATCGGATTAGAAAGTGGTGACATTTGTTGCCAATAGGCATAAAAGCAGTCCCCTGAACATTTCATAAAAGTCAAATATTGCAAAATTACCACAAAATCTATGACGACAGTTTGTTTCAACACAGAATTTTAGATTCTCCAGGCATATTGGACAGATATCGATTTCCCCATTACTGGGTGATGTATCAACATGAGTATATGAGGCCAAACTTCTCGAAATAATAGTTTGCCGAACCTCGTCGACGGTTTGTTGGCTCTCAGGATGAATGTACGTGGAACTAATGGCATCGAAATATAACATAGCAAAATTTACCTGGAAGAAGTAAATCTTTTCACAATAGCTCGCACAAACAGTACAATGAAAACAGACGACAGAACAAACACAGCGGAGACAGAATTTTCCAAGCCTGATATGATTTCCATTTTGAGAAAGTGAACCGTATTACTTAAATAATGATAACATCTTTAGATAATACATTATTTTTTATTACACATGAACCAAATTTATTAATTTCAAAATTGGAAAGATATTCAAAGAATATATTACAATCAAATGCAACAAATGAATTAACCCGAGGACAATCGAAATAGATAAGCGTAAATGGGTAAATTGAAATATTCTAAAGGACTGAAGTCATTAAAACTTCTCTTAACCAGCAAAATAAACGAAGAACAATCATTTTAAAATATAAATTTTAAGTTTAAATATATTTTTTAAATTCTAATGTTTCAGTGACTGATTTATATTTTTGTGGAAATTCAGGCGATTTAACCTCTAATAGGTTCCGATCATTTTTGTTATATTCACACAGTTATTTCCTCAATGATTCTAGCTCTGATCAGCACTTTGTGCTATTGGGCATCTCAAATTAAATTTATTGTACTTACGATTTTCTGAGATTTCATGACTCATTTGCGTGATGGACCCACTCCAAAGGGTACACCCTGGGCAAAGTCTATTCATACGGCAAAAAAATCTATATACCTTAAATTTTTTCCCAAGCTACCATACATTTTCATAGCAAAGTTTGAAATTATTCAGGCTTGTAAATTAAATTATCTACATAGGAAGTCGTTTGAAAATCATCCATTAAGAGAGCAAAATGACTGATCCATAGTTCTGAGTTAAACGCACCCCAAAGTAAGGAAAGTAGAACAAGATTAATAAAGTATTTTATTCAACAGAAATGGTATGATTAATATCAACCGAGAGAATCGTATCACCACTAAATTTACAATCACGCACCTCAAGTACTCTGTTTTACAGAAATGGTATGATTAATATCAACCGAGAGAATCAAATCCCCCTAATAAAATTACAATCACATACAGATTTGTGAGTAAAATTGAATGACTGCCACCATCGTCTACTCATAATCATCAGAGAACTCAGATGCAAAGTGTACTACGCTTCCAACACTGAACGAAGAAATAGCATGCACACTCCATCAGCCTGAAAGATGTGTCGTGCTACCAACTGTGTTGCAGGCAGATGTGGTCGTAAGTGAAATCGATAGTCGCTGCAAAGTAGCACATCTTGATGGCTTAACATGTGGTGGCATTGTTCAACGATTT